TATATGTCGGCACCGCACTACGGTCGCGCCAGAAAAGTTGAGCAGCACGCGACGACGCAACGCATCGCAATGCTAATATTTTGCATAACTTCTGGTACAGCAACACTTAGCCGTTTGTGATAGCAGTGGCTTACCCGCGGGGTGGGGGGGGGGGGGGTTCCTATGACAAGCAGAGTTTGGCAATATCAAGGGGAAGGAGAGATTAGAAAAGAAAAGTGTAAACATCTGGCAAAATCGAGAAGGAAGAAGGAGGAACTGGAAAGAAAAATAAACACCGGGAAGTCCGTGGACTGCCCTGGCGGAAAGGTAGCGTGCCTACGCATACGCCACTGGATGGTGGGCAATGCAGTAAAAACACTCTAACCCATACCTAGGATTTTTGTTTAAAGTAAATGTTTCCTCTTTTCTCTTTCTTTTTGCCTTTTAGCCGCCAAAGGGAAGGAGCACGGGCCTGTATTGAGATTGCACGAACAGATCACAGCAATTTATGTTTACAACTCACTTAAGCATAAATACCCAGGCTTTACGGGAGATATAATGTGATGTTCTGGACAGTCAATTGACTTTTCTACCGATGCTGTTGGCGGTACATGCTGCAGCAGTAGGCCTACACTGTTTGATGACGTATTACGACTGATGGCAATATAAAGCTACTTGTCCAATAACTGCAAATTTGCTTGAATGAAGTAAGGAATGAAGAAATGAATATATAGGCCTAATCTTGGCAATGTCGATGCGGCTATTCCGTGTAAATAAGACAATTTTCTATTCAATTAAATTCAATCAAGGTTTATTAAAGACATGAATGACAGTCATATACTGAATTGTACATGCTTTCACAGTGCAGGTAAAAAACAATGTAAGTATAAAATAATAACATGAGATCAGGAAAATGAAATTAAATGTGTACAAGCATAATTTTTAATTATTAGATATGATGTTGAGCAACAGTATTTATGAATATATGAATTTATTTTTGTTCGCTCTTCTCTACTTGGCTATACTTGGACTTCGATTCATCGGGTCATCGCGTCGGGTCTATTTGTAAATGAAAGGGGCCTATTTTACAACACTACGCCGATATTTCGTAAATAAAGGGGCATGTTTTCACAAAAGGTCGGGTAACGCGACAACCCCATCCGACGCGAAGACCGATGATTCGAAGTAAGCCCAACAGACACCGACTACTCCAAACGCCAATCATTGTCAGTAGGACGTTTTATGTTGCTCTCTCTTCATTTTGAATGAAAAAAGCTACTTCCGACATCCCTCTTTTTCTTGATTTCACCATGCGTTGAACAGACAAAAATCTCGATGCCTTCGTTTAATTTTGCAAATCGAGTTACATGTTTTTTGTGGGTGCCATGAATTTCATATTGTTAATTTTACAATTAAAAAAAAACAAAAAGTAACGATAGAGTTTCCCGAAATTTCTACCTGATAACAGGTATAATTAATAATAATAATAATAATAACAATAGTGGTTTCTTGTATAGCCCTTACTTCTGTCAGACATGACACATCTGGCGCTCCACAATTACTACCCCCTGCTTTAGCATGGCTGCCATTATGGCGCTCTAGCATTTCAAGGAATGTATTCCTAACCGGTACCCATTTATCTCACCTGGGTTGAGGGTGGCAAATTGAGACAAATGTCTTGCAAAAGGTAATACGAGCCGCGTCGGGACTCGTACCACGAACCATGGGATTGGCAGTCCAGGGCCTTATCCACTCACCACGAAACCACTTCTGTTGCAATAGAATGCAATACAAATATGTCATGTTTAAAAAACTGAACAACATTCCTCATTGCTCATCTCTCTCGCTCTCTCTCTCTCGCTCTCTCTCTCTCTCGCTCTCTCTCTTGTTCATTCCGTTTATAAATTTTTTTATGTTCCTCCTCCCAAATTGTTTATGCCTCTGACTGAGTTTCAATTGTTTTACTTTGTAGTGCAATAGGGTCAGGGGTATTATGGAAACAAAACATTTGCCTTACATCATAAAGTTCCCACATAATTACAATATGCCCTCATTGCTATTGTGGTTATGCTTACAATATGAACTTCAGAAACCCTATTTGTTTTATTAGAAACCTTTATTATTTTTCGTGCATATTTTGTTATGGTCTTCATAAAACAGACATGTAATATCAGTGAATCCATTTTGAAGGCAGATAAAAATTAAACTTATACTAAATAAACTGCTTTTATCACATTTATTTTACTGTATTTTTGCAATATTTACATTTGGTAGCAGCAATATTTCCTCGATGTAATCAATGTTATAAACCCTATAGAAAATATTGTAGACTTTAAATAAGCCTAGTCATTAAAGGTATACACCAGTTTTGGAAACGCTCCCCCCCCCCTCTCAAAAAGCTCTCAATACCAATCATATAAAAGAATATGTTTTGACTTATACGTGATGATACAAATTTTGCCGGTAAACAGCCTACTAATTGATATATTTGGTAAATTATTATATTTTTCCGGACTGGATAGATATCGCGTAGTCCCATATACATTTTTATAAGTACAGTGCTTGTAACTTTACCAAGACTCGGCCAAATTTCTTATCATTATGATGGTTCTAGTACCTTGCAGTACACTCTAATACTTATATGCTAGATGATCAACCTTTTCTGGTCGATTCCACAACGTTTATTTTACAATGCAATCGCATGATCAAACCTGGTCCATACCTTTGAGATAACATCATGATCATTTGTCAAATTATCGTTAGTTTGATTTAAATCATCAGTGTAAAAGGTAAATTAAAGTGTAATATTTCTAGAATAATAGTGCCTCACGGGCAATATCAAATACAATCAAATTTCTTTACCAAATAAGCTTATAAACAAGAATATGGTGATTTCCTTTTATCCATTGCAATAGTATGCTTACACTTATGGGTTCGCGATGTAAATGAAGAATAGATATTATATAAAAAACATAGGGAGAATATATTTCATATCCATGTATATTTTACTAAAGGCGTCATTAGAGGGGCATTTGGAGTGAAAAAATGATTCATTAAGTAGACATTGTCATTAGGAGAAAAATTTGGTGTCCTCTTAAGGGGTGTATGTTTTATTTCTCATAGAAGGCCCAATTTTGTTATATTTATCCCTCTCTATATATGTAATATTACTAAAGGTGTCATTGGAGGGATATTTGGAGTGAAAAAATTAGTCATTAAGTAGACATTGTGGTAAGGGTTAGGGTTATGATTTTTATGAAGACCACTTAATGTACCATGTAGGGTATTATATATATATATATATAGATATATATATATATGAAACCCTACATGTTGTATTAACAGGACACCTATATCTAACCCTAAATGGTACGTTAACAGGACATCATAAAAACTGGTATATTACCCTAACCTTAACCCTAACACAAACCCTAACCCTAAAGTCAAAACAATATAACTACTCAAACTAATGACTAGTGATTAAACCTATTGTTTCTAGGCAGGTCTATATGTTTCCTCTGCCTGCAAACGTTCGTAGAGGGCAGTAATTATATTGTTCAATCGTTAACAAGACACGAAAATGTATAATAACATTGACCATGATAATAATAACCATGTCTACTTAATGACTTGTTTGTCACTACATATTTCCGTCTAATGACGCTGTAAGATGAATATACAGTATAAGGCTACTTACTTCACATTTCAAATCATACAAATCAATAGAACATTAATCTTACACGAAAGGTAACTACAAACATCAAATTTAACTTACAGATATCACTCAACTTTTAAAAATGTACTTACTTCATTGAGGTAAATCATCTTTTCGTTTTGTTTCTTTACTTTTCTTCCTGCTATTTTGTTTCCGTTTTCTTTTCTCTGATTTCGCTTTCAAACAAATGTTTCAATACAGATTCTCTTTTATCTTTTTACAATTTGTTTGCGTTGTAAAATAACTTAATGTACACTCCAGAATGATATGGTCAGAAATAAATTAGACTGGCAGTTACTTTCTATTTTTAGTAAGTACTAAGATTTGTATGAAAACACGTTGAATATGTAACACACTATATTCATTCTGTATGAAGAGAATGTGCGAATAAAGAAATAGGTGAATAATTCACACGAAACCTATTGACAATTAGGCGACATTTTACCATCTACAAACATTGGCATGACCTTAGCACATTTACTGTAAAATAGACCTTAACACATACCCTTCATATTTATAATTAACGCAAAATACACCTTCATACATGCACATGACTATACAAACACTGTTGCTCATGGAGTTTTTAATAGTTTTTATTACGTGTTTCCATAAAAAGATTGTAACAGTATATTTTTTTCTTGATAAATTCTCATAACTGTATTGATGAATCTTTATGAACCTTTAGATTAATCAATAAAGTTCTAAGAAGATATAAACTGTATCTATCAAGAATAAATGATACTATCACAATTATCTCATGAAAATAGGTAAGAAATGTTATTCCAACATACATATACATATGGGGTAAGGCCAGCTCAGCCTATGGCATCGCGAGGCTACTTAGTTTAAATCGAGAGTTAAAGTATAATGATAATAAATGTCTTGATTTTAAAGGAATATGCATTGCAGCCCGGTGGCTAAATTATAAAATATTTTTGCAAAAGTATCCTCATGATAAATAATACACTAAGAAGAATCATAAAATTACATAAAAACAATCTATATCCAGTTGTAAAGCACTCATGAGTGTAATATATACAGGTGAGTCTACTATTAAATGAGAGGTAAGTTTTAAATGCATAGATGAAGGTTCAAAATAGTATAGTGTGATGTAAATGATGACCGTAAAAGGTAGAGTGTGGTAGAGGCAAGCTGCATGATTTTAAGAAGGCAGATGGAAGGGACAGATTGACAAGGTGGACTGAGAGTGCAAGAAAGAAAGAGGAGGTGTGACTTGTGCGAGAGAGAGAGAGAGAGAGAGAAAGAGGGAGATAGAGAGAGAAAGAGAGGGGTGGACAGAAAGAAGGGGAAAGAAAGGTAGAAGAGAAACAGAGGGAAAGAGAAAGATAGAGAGGAAAATGAGAGAGAGAGAGTGGGTGATGAACAGAAAGAAGAAAGGGGGTAGGTGGTCATCCACTTACAACAATACTATGAAATAACACAAATATTAGCAAACGTAGCAAGGTTAATTAGAAGTAAGTTTTACTCAGTATATACACAACATAACCGACAAAAAAATCATGAGAATATGCTGTTGAATGTTAGAGATCGGCCGCTATAACCTTGATATTCACAAATTTCGTGTCTTCTAGAATATCTGGACCTCTTGACAGTGTAAACTTAACTTTTTTAAGTAACTTTTTTACAAATTTTTACCAAATGATCTTAAAAATACAATTTTTTTCAAACAGACGTATACTTGATGCAAGATTCATACAAGTATTTGCGATCTAGTCTGATTCAGCATTCTTGGCTAAGTTTAACACAAGTTATTCCTTCTGATGTCCCTATACTGATCCAACCATCGTACGGTTTACAAGATGTAGATGCGTTGTAGTACCGCTGCATATCCGAACACGGCTTAATTTCACATGTCCAGTGTAGACGCATACAATCCTTCATCCAAGTCATTGAGAGACAGATAATTCTGTGAAAATCAAAAGTAATTAAGATAATAATGATAATAATAAAAGCATTTATATTCACCTCAGGAGACACTCATTGGAAGTACAAAGTAGTATTACGACATGGGATTTAGCCCAGCTGTTTTTAGGCGTTGAAAGCATTCAAGGAATAAATTCCAAGTATCACACTGACCCTCACTCTGCCAATTTTATGTTGAAAAATAAGAAAGGAATTTCCCTTTTTTTTTCTTTCTTCAGAATTCTATTTAAATTTGAAAATATGAAGAAGAGAAAATTATATGATCATATATGAATATGAAACACACAAATATGAACGGTAGGATATGGTAAATGAATAAACTAAATGACGTAATAAATCATTCCATAAGGAAAAGAAGCTCCAAAGATCACTATTGGTTAAGGGTTAAGGTTATTTTCACGATACCTGTCGAACTGAGGTTAATGCACTAACGGAATTGTAAAAATTGATATGTAATAAGGAAATTTAATTCTGATTATACATGTTAGAAGGTTATTTGAGTCCATCTTACATGAGTCTTTTCTAGAATCCTTTCCAAACTCTTGAGGATATGATCAAAGTTACTCCGATTTGTAGCTTCCTTCTCCCAACAACCAGACATGACCGTATACCTGAAAGATACGAAAAAGACGATCCTTATCTAATAGAAATCTAATAGAACTACCGAATTGAATCTAATACAAATACAAATACAAAATTCCGACAAATCTAAAGTTCATGAGCAACAGCAGTTTTATCACTATTGTTTCATTATTTTATGTGCGCAACCAGTCCGAGTCGTTTTACTACACATTATTGTTTTTATCATTCTATCACTTTCTCTTTGTGTCTTTCCTTATGTTATTCTTTGTTTCTTTCTTCAATCACCTTCTCTTATGTTATTCTTTCTTTTTTATCCTTCTTTCACTTTCTCTTTCTGTCTTTCCTTATGTTATTCCTTGTGTCTTCCTATATCACCTTCTCTCATGTTGTTCTTTGTTTTTATCCTATCACTTTGTTTCTACCATTCTTTATGTTATTCTTTGTTTTTTTCCTATCACTTTGTTCCTACCAATCTTTATGTTATTCTTTGTTTTTTCCTTCTACCACCTTCTTTATGTTATTCATTGTTTTTATCATTCTATGATTTTCTCTGTTGAGTGTTTAGACGTATTATTTTCAGCTTCAGAATCTGATTCAAAGGATAGATTGCAAAATCAAGTGTAATAGTGTTTCTTAAAGGGGCATGTTCCCCGTATTCCAGAGGGCGTTTAAAATACGTACCCGCTGGCGGACGGTGCTAGCTGCCTATTGACACCAACAGAATACGGCTCTTACGCAGATGGCATGTTCCGAATGCCCGCACAATGCCGATTAGCGCATACATGTGCCGAAGTAATACCAATCGCAGTTCGGCTCTAAAATTCGGCAGCTGTTTCCGCCCACTTTCGCGACGTCACAATCGGCAGCGATCAGCTGGCTTGGCGAAGGCATGCCAGGACGCGCGTACTTTGATTGACAGCTGTATGCAAATTAGAAGTCAATCTTCGGAACCAAGATGGCGATGACTAGAGCAGCGATAACTACACTGGCGGGAACATGCCCCTTTAATGTTTGGAAACATATCTGCATTTGATACAAAACATCATCATGAAATCTAGGAAATACAAACATAGCATCGAGTGAGTCAAATTATGACATTTACAGAACAATTCGCATGAAAGAGTAATATTTACACTTCTTGTCCACAATGGCGAGGGCGTGGCATCTGGTAACCATTGGCAACCTCCTTTTGGACAGTGTCAAAGGTCATTCTAGGGTATGGCCTCGCACCTTTAAGAATCGAAGAAAAATAACACTGAAAACGCTTTTTTCCAAAATACGAATATGTGACATCCAAAGCTATGGAGAAAATATATATATATTTATCATATACATGTATATACAATTTGTCATCAACCCTTGATAGTACAACCGGAATTAAGTGGACAAATTTAGACTAAATATTATTCATATCTGCGACATGTATTTAAATACGAATAATGCAATAAATTAAATATCGCAAATATTATTGGTGGGTCTTATAGAGGGTAATAAGTGGCTTGAATTCTTCATCTTTAAAATGCTTCAAACAAGTATTAGTCATGGTCTATTTTGATTATTTAAGTGGAAATGGTTTATTTCACTTTTCTTCATAACACAATATGATACACGTGAAGTGGAGGGGTCGTGGTATAGTGTCTCATTCTCTTGACTCTCAATCCGAGGTTTAAGGGTTCGAATTCCAACTCGGCACTATCTTCCTTTGGTAAGTCGTTAATCCATATTTACGACTCTCCACCCACTCCACCAACCTGGCAATAATATGGCAAGGGTAATAATAATGGGAGGGCTCTGACGAAGAACAACTGTAAAGCCCATAAGGCTTCCTACGAAAAGAACTTCATGGTCTTTAAGATGGTACACAAAATTATATGCGATATTAACTTTATTTTTTCACCTAATGTCACAATTTCCCACAAGACGATGCCAAAAGACCAGCTATCTCCTTCTGTTGATTGGTCACCAGTTACCATGGCTTCAGGCGAACTCCATCGTGTTGGTTTCTGAGATGTTGGAAAATATTTGTTAAAGGTAAAATTGTGTTAATTTTTAAATTAGAGTTAATATACATTTATTCATGGTTTTAAACAAACCGTGATTATCAATGGCTGAATTGTTTACGATTTACAAGCATATTTGAAAATACATCAAAAACAATATTGCATATGGCAAAAATTATACAAACACCACGGTCACTAAAGTTGATAATATTTAGGGCGTATACATATACCATTATGGGTATAATAATTAAATAATCTATGCTGATGATATATCATTAAATATGGTGATAATACTCACACCTGTGTTGCTAAATAGTGATGAAGATAATCCATAATCTGATAGCTTGCATTGCTTTCTATCTGCTAGTAACACATTGTGAGCGCAGAGAGTTCCATGGATGATCTTTGTAAACAAAAAAAATAGAAATAGATAAACAGAATGATAGAATTAAAAAAGACATAAATAGATTGGCAAAATTCTAAATTATATAATCTGGATGTTATTTATTCACCTTTGATCACCATAACAATCCTCACACCATAATGGCTTTCTCCTCTCCTATTCTTCCACTGTCTTCTTCCACTTTTTTAATTCTCATCCTTCTCGCACTTATCCCCGGCCTAAATGTTCTCACTCTCAACCACCCCTCCCACCCCCCCGGTCGTCTCTCGTTCTTTGATGCAAACGACATCGAAACGGCATTCCTTTGACAAAGTTGGGTAGACTGCCTTTATCTATTCATCTCCTTATTATTTATGCCTTCTCAGTTTCTCGTTACTTTTCTTCCTCTGTCCCCTCCACCTCTCTTCCCCCTTTCCATGTGTCCTTTCTCTTATATTGCAAGTCATGAAATAAGTTTACCTCCTTTGATGCAAGAAACTGCACCCTTATGCAATTTGCCAAGCCAAGGTGATTAGATTACTTAAATCTATGCACCTCATTCTCAATCATTCCAGGCCTTCTCAGTTTCTCGTTATTTTTCTCCTCTTCTGTCTCCCCCTCCATTCCCCCTGTTTCTTTGTCCTTTCTCTTTTATGGCAAGACATGATAATAATGTTACCTTCTTTGATGCAAGATACTGCATCCCTTTTGCGATTTGCCAAGCCAGGTTGAGTAGACTAGCTTCATCGATACGAACCCTCTTTGGTTTGAGATTGCCGTATGTGGGTTGGGATTGTACCCCTGTGGTCTGTAGATGGGTGAGTAGGGTGCCCCCAGAGATGAACTCGTACAGAATGCTCCCTGCATCATCGGCAATTCGTTCAATTGAAAACAATAACGTATGATTAGCTGATAACTGATATTCAATATTATCAGTGATTAGACATCATGTTATAGTGAGGGCAAATCCTCTACATTAATAATTAATTACAATAAACTGTTGTTTAAATCTTATTCAACTGATTCCGAGAATTGCTCAAAATGTTACGCATCTTTAGGTTTGCTATAGTGACCTTTGCAAAGGTCGTTCCAAACAATTAGGAAAATAATGCTGATGATCATATTAATATGTATTAAATTGAGCAGACCAAAACAAAACGTTTTTGTGATTGCAGGAGGAGGTGTTTTTACCTTGTTCTTGACTATATCCCAGGCACTTGACAACATTTGGTTGATCCGGCAGCTCAGAAAGTACCTTGACCGCTCGAAGAACGTTGGTCGATTTGGTCACTTGATCTAAGAGAAGATACATCGTATTTATAACCCGCACATTTGCTTTCAATTTCAAAGAGAGTGTAGGGTTAAAGTCATTTGCAGAAAAGCTCAATCATTCAGTTTTTAATAAGATCGAGGTAAAACCCTGTCGACAAGTATACATATATGCATCGTTTAGCTTTTTAGCAAGGTGTTACTTTTTACGTTTGCGCTGGTCATACTAATATTGAACTTTCTAGAAAGCTGAAGGCAACTCTGCTTGTTAATTATAAATGCAACCTCTCATAAAGGTTAGGATAATTTAGGCTACATTGATATTTAGTAAAGTGATTTGCCTTTCGGTCATTTAAGTTCGTTATTTTCACCTGGAATCGGTCATTTTAGTTTATCAATTTTTAGGGAGTGGTTGGCGAAACCTCACCTGAAATCTGCCTGATAGCAACGTCTACTTGACTTTGATTCGAACGGAGTTCTCCCTTCCATACCCCGCCGAAGTCACCGCGTCCAATTGAACCGAGTCTGGTGAAAAACGTCACGTTTTCAGGAGCAATAATGGGAGAGTGGGATGGACCGAGTTTGAGAGCTGTGTATGCTAAAAAAAACAAAATTAAATTATTATTAAAACGCTTCTAATACTTGAAAGATCAAATACAAGCAATCTTTCACCCTCTAAAACATGGATAAGGCTTCCCTTGGATAATCTTTTCTAGATTTTTTTCAAATATAAAACGAAAGTGAAAGAATATTCACCATAAACGTATTTATATATAATTGTGTGTGTGTGGAGGGCGAGGTGAATTTGCGATTTTAAAAAGCGGCTGTTATTAGAGGTAAGTTTTAAAACCCTTGGTGAATTAGTATAGTAGGCCTAGCAAAAATCAGATCAGGGAGAACAATTAAGCTTATAATGTTTCCTGTGGATTATATACTACTACTTGTATTAATAACGTAATAGTCTTGATAGTTACAATGTATTCTGCAGTTTGGGACAATATGACTATCAATTAGTGCGATAGTATTTGTGTGGTTGTATGACTTTTTTCAACGTATTTATGGCAATTTACAAAGCCTTTCATCTACCCTTTTTATTTTGTAGGTGAATTTTTGCTTCGTGATCAATTTTCGTGGTAGGGCCTTTTTTATTTTTTGGGTGACTTTTTGATTCGTGAATCATTTTCGTGGAACTAACGCTTTCCTCATTTTAAACTATTGACTGATTTTTACACATTTTCTCACCTTTATCTCCGTTCTGAATCATCTCATACTCCATGTTGTCGTTTGCCTAATGAGAAACGTGTCTTTCTTCCCTGTGAAAAAGGGATACTGAACAAATGACCTTTCTGCCCTAGCCCATAGCCATCATCATGTATATACAGAGTTTGGCCAACCCAGTTCGAGTTGGTCACAATATGGCGACTACGTACTGCTTTGTTGGGCAAGCACAAATCAAAAGAATATACGCCATGCTGTGACCCAGTGAAACCAAGTTGGCCAAACTCTACTAATCAATGGCACCGCCCTAGCCTATTGTACAGCGCCATCTCAGAGCCATCTCATCGAACTAATTTCCGATTACTCGTATTAGAGCAGTTTTGCTCGTTTTTATGTTATAGTACATAGGTAACATTTTCGTTTTCTATATTACGAAATGTGTCTTCATTCTGCTTTCAAATGAACTAATTTTCAATCCCCTTGAATGTGAAGAGTTTCATATCGATAAAAATTCAAGTTTCACTTTACTTTTTAACATATTTGACATGTAAATACATGAATAATGATATCATGCTTTGACAATTTTAGTGGTTTCTCATATTCCACTACATCCAAATGATAGTGTGTGTGTGTGTGTGTGTGTGTGTGTGTGAGTGTCTGTGAGGGGAAGGGTGTTTGTATAAATATTTATCGATATATATATATATATATATATATAGATATATATACATATAAATATTGTTGAATATCGATCTGCTAATTACTAACCTAGAAACGGTTTTCGGTGACTCTTCAAAACCTGTAAAAAAAGAAAAAGAAGCGGAAGAAGCAAATATAGAATTTTTGATAAATTTTTCTGTGCACATAAGAGGTATATGACACATTTATCAACAAGGAAGTAAAATTTAGTCTAAAGTAAATTGATCTCTATCCTGAGGAAATCCATTCAGGAAAGCGATAGATGTTATGATGTGCAAGAAAAAATACTTTCGCTATCAATTTCCAGTATTATGTTTCCTTAATCTCTTCAAGCACTTTTTTTTTTTTTGGTCTCGAAATTTGGAAATTTGACATTTTGCTCCGTTGGGGGGGGGGGGGGGGGGGGGGTAAGGTCACCTTTTTTAGGTCGGCCATGGGAATAATTTTTTTTTTTTTAATAATTAAAAAAAAAAGGGGGGGGGGGTTTTAGGTTTTTTTTAGGGGGGTTTACACACACAAAATTTCCAAAGGGGGGGGGGGGGTTTAACCCCCCAAACCCCCCCCCCCCTGCGTACGCGCCTGCCTTACTCTAAACTTAACATAAAACCCAATCGCAGCCCTAACCCTAACCCTTACTCTAAACTTAACATAAAACCCTACGCAGCCCTAACCCTAACCCTTACTCTAAACCTAACATAAAATACAAGTGCAACCCTAACCCCAACCCTTACTCTAAACCTAACCTAAAACCCAATCGCAACCCTAACACTAACCCTTACTCTAAACCTAACCGTAAACCAAATCGCAACCCTAACCCTTACCCTTACTCTAAACCCTACCTAAGACCTAATTACAACCCTTACCCTATACTTTTGACGAAAAAAATACCAGGAAAAGATTTCGCCGAAGCAAATGTAAATTCAAATACCAATAATATAACATACAGGTATCTATAGATATATAACAACTTTAAGAATCAAATTTATACCCAATAACTGTAATTTAAAAAGTACAATATCCAACGTGTTTGAGCCATACAAAACGAAAATACCGAAAAATAAATAATATCAGTTTCATTCTAAATATGAAATTTAAGATTTTAAAAGTCAATTCACATTCTACCAACAGCAACGCTGATTCGTTCTATAGTAGTATGTTATTCAGATACTGAATCAAATAAATAATCAGGGGAATTCCCGATTTAATTCATTGCGATCAAAACAGGAACCTCCTGATGAAATTGAGAAACAATTTTGTATGCATATCCGCCTATACTATGATGCCTCACTTCAATCATAGCATAAACAGGACTTTGAACTCTGGTCTGTGTTCACAAATATACTGTAGGCATTTATTTGCTAAAGTAACATGGGAACAATATACATTCCTTGGGTGAATACACATCCTTGTATTTTCTTATTTTGATATT